TCTTTCCTGCCTATGCAGCGGGTCGGACTTGATGATCTATTGAGGTCCCTTCCAACCCTAACATCTATGAATCTGAGAGACATCTCTGTTTCAGCTCTAAAATTCATCCAGCTAGAAGTCAAATATCGCATTGGCACTTTTCAAAAAGAGACATGAAAAACTCCAGTTCTTTCTTACCATACTTGCACGTTAGCCTAAAGTGGCAAAGTAATGAACTATGGGATACTACTGAATGCATAATAGCTAGGTGTAACCACATCCACATAGTCTCTACAATATTAGCATCTAATGTACTGTTATTGCAAGATGTCTTGAAGATGTGAAGCAGTTCTGTTCCTTTTGGATCCTGATATTTGTAATGTGTAGGTAATTCATTCTCTTCAACATTAGCTATGTATTCAATGAACGTTTATCATATATTTCTCACATAGTTATAAGATTAAAATTTAAATTAAATTGTAGCATTGCTATGCCAACTTCACATATGCAGGCCCAAGTCTTATTGGAACCAAATCCAGGGAAAGTAAGAAGCTATTTAAGACACACTGACTTTCTATAAACCTTAGAAATGAGCACTGCTATCAGCTCTGCCTATGTTGCAGCACTGAGATAATTCTACGGCCTTGAATAAAACTGTTTGGTCTCATGTAAATAATTCCACACCCCTCCAAGATGGAATAGAAGAAAATGGAAGAGGCGCAGCACAAACCTCCACTGAATGACTGCATAGCTAGTACCACACATTATTCATTACTCTTTATATTTGATGTTGAATACTAAGCACATTGAGAATTTCAAAAATTGTGTGATGGACTTTGTAAAGCCCAACAAGGGAAAAAAGACTATGCAAAGTGTCCTTGCCTCCTGTTTTCATGTAGGATAAATGTCATTCCCTTCACCCCATCAAAAGTGCACAAACCAGAAAGTATGCAAACTCTAACGTTGTTATTTATAGTGTGTAACATTAAGAAATCAACTAAGTGGCTATAACTGCATAGTTTAATCTATTTCAAGAAGGAATTTTCTAGAAATGACAACTTGAGTTCTCTGAACATAAAACGTTTACAGTAATTATTTCACATTTTTATCTAGCTCTCTGGGTGTGCATTTCCCCTAGTTAATGCATCAAAAACAAACAAACCCCAAAAAGTCAAGTGTTGATTAGCTACCAGTTTTCCTTAAATCACTGACATTTTACATTCTGGGAAGCAAGCTTTCAGTTTCCCTTAATATACTGTATGAGTATGGTTTGTGCATCAATTGAAAAAGAAGGAATCTAGTCAAATGCAACATGATAGATAGACATATTTCCGTTCTGATGAAGCATTTTCAAAAATTCACTGTTTTCACTAGATTAGGGGTTCTCAATACCTGGGCCATGGCCTGGTGCTGGGCTGCGGCAGGTAGGCTGCTGGATTGGAACTGGCCACAGACTGGCAAACTGCGGCCCCCCAGAGCCGGGCAGAGAGGTTGTGGCTCCTTCTGCAGGGCCCGCAGCAGTGCAGGGTTTACCCCCGCAGCGTGGGGGCCATCCTTACCTCGGCTGTGACTGCTGGGCTGCAGTTTACTGGGCCGCAGCATAAAATCTTTGGGAACCCCTACACTAGATCAACCACCAAGAATTAGTTCAGAGAAGTCTGTGTTGTGTAGAAGTCAAGCTAGGTGATGAAAAGGGTCTCTTCTGCTCTAACGAAGTACGAGAAGAATTTTAAGATTTTATTGACGCTAGCTAAAATTTGTTTTGTTGAATGCAAAGGACTTAACCATTTTAAATTATTAATTTTTTTAAATCTGTGAAGCCTGAAATAGATGCAGTTCTCGTTACCTTCAAGATCACCTTGTCTGCTCTTATGATACCAAAGCCATTAAAAAAAATCTTAGACAACTGAACTAACATCACCCGGTTCAACTGTGAAGCAATAGAAAAATGGGGATTCCATGTAAGGTGCCTTCACAAATAAGCTTGATTCTCTTTTCAGTGTGCCATGTTACAGATCATTTTCTGTCATGCTTTTTCTGCAGAGAAGATTTGAGTTGATTTCAGTTTAAAAATGAGGGCAGTTTGTAACATGTACCTGTACTACTGTGAACACTCACAGTGTTAAGAATAACCCCAACACTCAACCTATAGCTCCCCGAAGGAAAGAACTTACTGGAGACTTTGAATAATCATCTGGGATGAAACTCCCATAAGCCTGCGAAAAGCTGTTATCTCTAGGACATTCTCAGAACACAGGTAAGAAACTAACTATGTGCTACTATAGTTCCATTACCACCATAGCATTCAAGTAACTTTAGATACACTAACTGCATTTAATTGACAAACCACACCATTATGTCTGTGGGACTGAGGTGCAGAGAGATGACATGACTTACCTGAATTCATATAGAGGCAGTCTCTGGAAGAGCCAACTAAGCCCTGATCACCTGATCCTTAACCATAAGACTATCTTTTTCCTCTCCAGATGAATGATCAGAATATGTTCTTCTATTGAGACAGAGTTTTCTATAGCAACTCCTAAAAAAATAAAATCACCATCATCTCAAGCAGTCCAGGAGAGGTGACACTTAAGGTATACTGGAAGTAACTGTGTAGATGTAATGAACAAAATTAGTACTTAATGACATTAATGCTGGTAGGAATCTGTCATGGCTAAGAGATTCATTATACTTTCCATGGTCTTTATAAGAACACACTGGGCCAGGTTTCTTCCTTACATAGTATCTTCAGCTCCTAAGTAGAAAAGATGCAGAATCATATTACAGAGCTGCATCAGAATCATATTATTGGTGCAGAGTTGGGACTTTCAAAAATGTATGTACAAAGATATTGGAATTCCTTCAGAGGTTCTCTCTGAACACCTTCTGCTACTCGGGTAAATAGTAAGTACATATTTTTAAAACACCTTTTGAACAAAGACAATAGTGAGACTCTCCATTCCTTTTATTTCTTTACAGTTCACGACTGTTGCCAGAGACCGACAAACAAACAAAAATAAAACCCAAAACCCATACAGTCTCCTACCAAATAGCATCTATGGTTTGGACCTATGCAGGTGGACTGGTTTAAAAGCTCTTGGCTTCTAGTTCCATTGAGCATCCTCTACCATACTAAGCAATACGCAAAACTGCACCAATTGGGGACAAATTCTGAAGTGTAAGACTTAAAGATGCATGCACTTCTGAAGAAGAAACAAACAAAACTTGACATTACAGCTAATACAGACTCGCATTGCTTAACATGATTCTCATGAAAACCCTCCCTGGGCAGATCTACATGTGCAATTAAATGGACAGTAAAATGTATTGTGCAATAGACTAATTTATGGCACAGTTTGTGCCTGAACATGTAGACGGTGACACTTGACTGCACAGCAGAATAATCTAATCCCCTGCATCTTAAACTTTATAAATATTGGCTTTTCATGTCAATCCTCTGGGCCAAGGAGTAGAATAAGAATTTAACTGTTAGTAAAAAAACCCCCCAAAACAACAAAAACAGCACAATATTAAAAAGTAATTCAACAAAATCTTTGAAAGCTTTTATTGTGATACCTTCGATAGATACAATATAATGAAACAACAAATGATGGTACAGTATTGCTAGGACAAAACAGCAAAGCAGCCATGTCATCTGTAAATAAAAGCATTTTAAAGTGTTTAAGAAACAATGAGGCACAACTCAGTTCTCATTTATGACTCCAGCTTAGGCCTTAAATTAATTGTAACAGTCCTTTTAAAAAAAATAAACCTCTGAAATGCCTATTCCTACACAATAGAGGTTTTATACTGCTGGTTGGGCCACAGTAGTGCTAGATGAACTACAGCTGTGTCCATGCTTAACAATTTGACATCTTCCCTTCATTCTTCACCATTAGCATACAATGCATATGTTCAAGTCTCTCTGTGGCTCTTTATGCATCTCGATCCAAATACATGATCATCTCTTCATAAAAGAGGAAAACAACTTTGATTAATTAAAAAACCCCAAAGTTTAAAAAGGGGTGTCCACAGGTTCCTAAAGTTAGCTGCATGCAAAATTAAGCCATTCACAGAGAAGTTGGCTTTTCTTTTCTTTTTTTTAATTTGTCAAGTATTTAGGTTGCAGTAGGGCATCAAGACTTCATTAGTGCAGAGTGGTATAATTCAAATCTACATTGCGGTGTGGTTTATGTATAAATAAAAAAGTTCACACATTCTGGCCTCTTTAACAGCAAGTAAAGCTAATGAGCAAACATTACAGGCTGGTAAGATGGTAATAAAATACTGTATATTAAAATGGCAACAGTAAAGTAAATCCACATATATAGCAAAAAAAAAAATTGGATGAGCTAATGCATCAACAAACCCTCCTTAATTCTGTAGCCAGTTTACGTTAACTTTTGAAACCTAATGTACTGTAAATGACAGCACTGCCTTTCATGAGTTAAAAATGTTTCCAGAGTAATCAGGCAAAGAAAGAAACCTGGCATTTAAAGTATAACTATATAACAACTGTGTTACAATCATTATTTAGGGCCTAGACAATGAAGAATCACCAGATTACAAAAAAAGAATGTCAAATTATGATGCTCATTTATTTTAGGAGATGCATGGCTTTAGAGGTGCAAATGAAAAACCTTTTAATACATGTACATTTTGCTAGCACATTCCTATGTATCCCAATGAACATATCTTTCCAAATAGCCAGCTCGTAGTCAGTTCATTTGGTCCTAGAAAAGAGCCAGCATGAAACACAAAAGTTCACAAAAGCTTTTTGTTACATTTATAAAAAAAAAAAAAAATACAAAATAAGTGTTAAGACCAACAATAAAAATAACCAGTACAAGTAACAAAAGTGCTCAAGTTGGAGGGGAAGTAAACTTGCCCAAAACGAACACAAAATCTTTAAATATAATCTTAATATATTACAAAGAACTGGTGAGAGGGAAAATGCTTTTCAAAATTCTTTTCAAGTAAAATGTTTATTTGTTTTTCTTGTTTTTTATTTTTAAATGTGCTACTGGAAGGTTCAGTGACCAGACTGACCTCTTTACATCAACCAGCAGCCATTGATATCTGGATTCAACTTTCACCAAAACCATTAACTGAAATGCTTCATATCTTACAAGGGCAGAACTGTTTAAAAACCAATTACTTATATCAAACAGTAACAAATATTTCTATTATTCCCAGATATCAGATTGAACAGAAAAAAATATTACACAGAAGTAATTCTGTATTAGGTATAGCTTCTCTTTTCCATCATGGCTGGGGACCGGAATTGATGATCTTATAGGTCCCTTCCAGTCCTTCTTTCTATGATTCTATCCCTCTCCCCCTTAAAGACTCAAGCATATGCTTTATTTGGTTCTTTTAAAAGCCCTAAACATTACATATAATTTATATTAACTCCTTATGCCAACAGTTTAAAGTTCTAGGTGTTAAGCACTGCATGAAATTTCAACCTTTGGCATTGAGGTTAATAAAGGTTTTGGTGAAAATTTCCAGTGTGAAATATAAATAATGCACTGAAGAAAGAGGTTGAGGTCCTAAATAAGAATTGGTCTTCTATTAGCTAACTAACAAGAGACATCCAGCTTTGCTATTTAAAGTAAAGTAGCAATGATATTTTTCTCTCTCTCTTTTTTTTTTTTTTTTTAAAGAACAGCTAACCTTAAATTTGTGGTCTCTCTTATAGTGAAAAGTAGTTATTTTTCTTTTCTTCAACTTAGTGTACTGCTTTACAAGTCTGCAGCTGGGGGAGAAGAGAAAGAGATAAACTTGTCTATAGACATCTTTATGGGTATCAACATTACAATAAATTAGACATTGATACCAATACCATCTCCATCTCCTTGTTATGACTGTACCAGTGTTTTCCTTGCTGGCACTGTAATAGAAGAAAATAGTATAGAGATTCCAAGTTGAAAGGGCCAAAGATGAGCGAAAAACCTAATACCCATCTTGCATCAATGAGTTTTAGTCATAGGGGAATCTCTTGTCTGATCATATTCTTCAACATGGAAAACCAATGCAGCCACCTTTAAAATCCAAATTAGACTTAGTTCTTTGGACTAAAGGCTAAAAGTTTTAGTTATTTTTTGTTTTGTTAAACATTGAGTTCTGTAGATTTCTGATGTGCAGTTTAGCCAGCCTGCATCATAGAAAACACCTTTACAGCTGGGAGGATTTTCCCTCCTCCCAAAAAAGAAATTAAAAGCTCTCTCTAAAGATCTGTATTGCTCTTACCCATTGGCATACTTTTTAATGAATGACATAGAACAGTAAAGTGCAGGAGAATTCTGAAAGCCTATGAGAGATTTTCTAGAACGTAACAGCAGCAGCAGCAATGGCACATATTACTAGACTTCATAGATGCCAAGTTAAAATGTTACTGAAAGGAATTACTTTGTATTGCAAGGCTTTCATATTATTAATTTTGTCATAGTACTTATGTAGTGTTAAAGATTTACCCAACCACTATTCTCAAGAATTAAGGGAGCCAAGTTCAAAAGTTCCTCTCTAAGAACAAAGTATTTCATAAGACACTGAAAGTGTATACACAAATCCCAATAATTAATATTGTGTATACACATCTATAGAAGTTTCTCTCCAAGTCACTCTAGTTGAAAAGTAGCTGGAAGAACTAGAAAAAAAACCTCACAGGAAGAAAGCACATTTTTATATAAAACTTTATTACAAAAATGTTTTTGGGGGCGATTTATCCAGCAAACCAAGTAACCCCCTTTTTCTTTCTTTATACTTAAAAAAAGGATTATCTTGCTATTCTATTTTATGAATAAGTGAAATCAACTTTCATTCTTTACTTTCCTACCCTCCCATTAACCCCCATTTTTCTCTCATAGGCCATGGCCCTTTTCCCACAAAAATATCTATTCTTGTTCAAATGTAATGACAGTAGAATATTTTAAGGAGTTTTTTTTTTTTTTTAAATATATCAACCTCTTTGTCCAGTGCATTAGGCTATGCAGCTACATGGAACCAGCCATACAACTTCATTGATGCATAGCTCCCTGTTACTGTTAAAGGTACAGTGCAAAAAATAATTTGGTAGCAAGTGAAAGACATGTACATTTTTGTGCCCTTTGATCTTGCAGGCTGTTATTCTTTCTTCTTCCCTAAAGATAAAAGGTTGTGGAATAAGGAATGTATTTTGATTACAATTACAGTATCATTCCTTAATGTTCTTGCAAGTTATTTGCACTAATTATATCAAAACATCAATGTATTCTTAACAAAATTTAAGGTCTTATACATTCAGTCAGTGCAACTGAAAGATTTCTAAGTGGGCACTGTACCTATAATCAGTTTCCTTACAAGACGTACACAGGGTTTTTGTACTCCCAAATTTTAAAAAGAAATTAATGAAACTACAATACTGCATCCCCTTCGCTTCCAAAAGACGTCAGAAGTTGCTACATATAAAAAGACACCCCCATCCTATACATTCTTTAGGACTGCTCATACAGGTCTTCCATAGGATTGGAGTGTAGGTGTTTAGGCAAGAAGCATGCACAGCAGAAGGTAGCATTAAAGGCATAGGTAAAAGATAGATACCAACCAGTAAAATCCATCTGCAATTATAACTAATGGTTTCTCTAGTCAGAGTTTAGAAAAAGGTCATCCAAAATGTTCCAAAACAACTGTTCACACAAGAGTACATATACAAAAAGATGGAACTTACACAAGGAGAAAAAGGCAAACATGGCCTGAAAGAGCCACAAACTACACTACTCATTTGTGAGGTTTCAAAGTTCAGCGATATTTTCAGAGCCACCTCAGCCAGAATCCTCCTTTACTTTGCACTAGTCTTTATAAAGCATGTTCCACAGAATATTGTCCAGAGTGTGTGAGAGGGGGGTGGGAAATCACTCCCAGCCATTGTCTTTGATCATGTGGGCAAGTTCAATTATAAATTTTCCTTCTTTGTACTTCTGACTGCTTTCAAAAGCATGTTCCTAGATAAAAAGAAATATATACATATATTAAAAAATACTGAGCTAAAGTTCTAACAAGGTTTTTCATCAAATGACATGCATTTAAAAAAAATGTAATACCTATTAAAGGTTTACACCAGGTTTTGATTATGCATGTGTTCCCTTTCTTGCTGGAGGCAGGAGATGCATGAATAATAGAAAAATAGGGCTGGATGGGACCTAAAGACAACAGAGTCCAAACCCCCTTGTTCAAGAAAGTATCATTCCTATCTAACCTCTCCCAACCAAGAGTCCATCTTAAAAACTACACTTAAAAACTTGCAGTAATGGAGATTCCACCACCTCTCGATAATCTGTGAATCCAATATGCAATCTAACCATGACAGTGGTTAAATATTAGGAAGAACTTTCTAAATTTCTCATTTTGCAATTTAAGATAGCTTCATCTCATCCTGTATCCCACAGAACATAAAAGGGGATGATAAACTCTTTTCTAACAGCTGTTTTTGTACTTTTAAACTTATCAGATCCTCCATCTCAGACTAAAAACTTTAGTTCTTCAAACCATGTCATGTATCATCAACAGACATCATAACTCTACAACAGGTGCAGGCAAAATACAGTCCGTGGGTTGGATCCAGCCCCCAGCCAATGAGTTGTACCCTTCCCAACCCCTCCACCTATGAGGATGGGAGCAAGGCGCCCAGGTACATCCCCGGCCCCCTCAACATACCATCACTCCTACCATCATGGGTGGAAGGGTGCCAGCACGCAGCTTCCAGGCAGAGCTGCTGCTGCTCCAGGCGCGGGTGACCTGCTTGGCTTCCCTGGTGTCCCGCAGGCAGCAGGTAGGGAAGCAGCAAGAGCAGGGCAGAGGCAGAGCTGCAGCTGGGCAGGAGCACAGGCCTGGAATGCAGCCCCAGCAGGAAGCAGCAGCAGCATGTGGGGGTGCTCAGGGCACTTGTTCTCAGCAGGATCAATGCTGCACATTGCAGAGAGAAGAACAGCCCCCGCCAGGCTGCATCTATTGCTGGTGGGCTCCCGCACTCATGCAGCACACAGGGAAGCCCCATGAGCTAGAGCCAGCTGAGGCGGCAGGAGGGAGGATTTGAGAGCAACTTTTAAGTACCTGAAGGGTGGTTCCAAAGAGGATGGAGCTGGGCTGTTCTCAGTTGTGATAAATGACAGAACAAGGAGCAATGGCCTCAAGATGTACAAATTTATGGGGTCGACATGTACACCACATCAACTTGTATGTAGTAAAATAAGGTAGTTGGGGATGGTCCTGCTTGGAGCAGGGGGTTGGACTAAATGATCTCCTGAGGTCCTTTCCAACCCTAATTTTCTACAATTCTATGACTGTGGGGGGAGTGGTAATACATAAGACTAAGGGCAGAGAAGTTCCTATTTCCACAGCTAATAGTGGAAAGAAAGAAAATGAAGTGGTAGAAGCTACAGTATATTAGCTACCTTACCCCTGAATGTTTATTGCCATAAGAGGGAACATGTGGCCCCAGCTGCCTTCCAGAAGATTCTGAAACATCTCTGAACCAGAAAGTATGCTACAAGTAGAAGTGGAAAGAGGCCCACTGAAAGAGTCCAATTTTTCTTCGAAGTGCCAGATCCATTGCACATTAGTAGCATGGATAACTTGTCAGCCATAAAGTTTAGTTTGGAGACATCTTGATCCTGCCACAACATTCAAGCAGCAGTTTTATTTCTGTTAAACATTATTATACATGCACCTAGTTACAGATGCAGAAGGTTTGTTCTGATGGATGTGAATGTAATAAGAGTCATTCAATCTAATAATATAAAATAACTGCTTGAAAATCTTAAAGATAACTCCAAATTGATTACTTTCTTTAATCACCTTCCTTAGAAGATAAAAGGTTGCCAAATAAGGAATGCATTTTTAATATTATATAGTATTCTAAGCAATCATTCTGTAATATCCTTGCAGATTATCTGTATTAATAATACCACTAATATAATTTGTTAAATGTTTGATAAAAATTAATAAACACATACTAAATACTTACATATTTCCATCCAAGAGTAGTCTTACAGTTTTCACAATAGATATCTGCTACAGCATGTAAACCTGTCAGAAGTACTCTCTCCTCTGCTGGACCACAGCCCACATTCACTCTGCAACAAAGAACATAGATAATGGCACTTCATCATTAACATAGAACTTTTTTCTTGTTCCATCAACATTTACCAATTTTCCTGGAAATTAACCCTGAGTTTTCCTTAAATTATGTAAAGTCTCCAGGATATGCTACTTCTAGTCAAATATTGCTCAGCTAATTTCTAATAGCAAACTAAGTTGAAGAGACAGGAAGGGGATAACTGAATCTTGTTTTTTATTTCGTAGGTGAAACACACTGGCATTTGTTGCATAGAATAAGCTCTCACCTATGCCCTGAAACAGCAATGCAAGGAAAATGGAAAGTTATTTAACTATACAAATTAAATGTCAGGTATCTTCTGATTTAAAGCCTGCTCTATATTGAGAATTGTTTCCATTAGCACAAATTGCTACGTTTTTCTTCTACCCAAGTATTCTGGACCAGAGCAGCAATGCCAACAGCTGAAATGAAAACTAAATTCCCAATGTAGAAAAGATCTTATAAAATTTTAGGTCATTTAACTTGGATCATCAAGAGGTTAAAAATCAGGTTCTTTACCAAGATAACTTTATCACTATCACCTTATTTATCAGTACATTTGAGTCCTGGCAGAAATCCTGGTGATTTGTCTAGGAGAAATTTGGCTAATTAAAGAGTAATTTACCATTTCCAGTGGCCACATACACGAGTAAATTTCTTTATATAAATTTGCTACTACTAATTCATCCCTGTAAAAAAAGCTACAGCAAAACCCAAATCATTAGT